AAAAGATCTTAAATTTAAATATTGTAAATAGAGAAATAAATGATATGAGAGTTTTTATTTAATATGATTTGATTTTAGATTAATTAAAATTAATAATAAAAAGAAAACAATGATACGCAGCAATCAAATCTAATCAAATTAAGAAGTACTTGATCGAGCTCATTGAAATTGGTAGATTATTCACTAAATTTAAGGATCAAATTTTCAATTACTAATTTCTAACAACACTAACTTATTAACCATTGTCTTTATAAAAAATAAAAAAAAAAAGCACTTCATCATGTCGTGATTTAGCAAGTGCATCGTAGGGGGCGTGGGAAACTGTTTTTGGTGCATCTGCGTGTTCTAAACCCGAAATCGGAGGGGACATCACGGACATGTTTTGTAGGAAGCTTCGTAAATTTGTAAATATTTAATTTAATCCAAGGGCTGAGATTAAACGTCGAAGTCGCAGTGAATAATTTTAACTGACCCACTATTCGTCGAAATGGACGGCGTTGATCAGACGCCGCCGTAAACGAAGTTCGTCGCGTGGCGGACATGTGATAATTTTCGGCCCCACCAACTGGGTCCCGCAACTTCTTCTGTTGACTGTTTCTGAGCTGACATCATCTGACTTTTGTTGCGCTGGGACAACTGAAAAAGTGTCAGCTGTCGCCCACTGTACGGCATGCTGACTCAGAATGTCGTCTGTGCTTAACTTTTTTATACAAAAATGGAAAAAGAAAGGAAAAAAAAATATCAAGGTGATGAAAAAAAAGAGCTGCTCTCGTTGAGAGTCGAACTCAAGACCTCCCGCTTACTAAACGGGTGCTCTAACCAACTGAGCTACGAGAGCCCGTGGTTTTCAACAAATTATTTATTACTATTAAAGATTCCTTGCGGTACAAGCAATTAATTCTCGTTAGGAGAAGGCGTCAATGTATATTAAATGCACATGGAAGGAAAAGCGGAAGGAATAGGTGGGGCTAAATTATTGCCACCGTCTAAATTGTTAAATTGATTAATATATCT